CAATGAATGTATTTTTTAATGTCTGTAAGTTAATAGTAATATAAAATATTTCAAAGCCCACCTATAACATGAAACTTAATTAAGGGATTTCTTCCCACAGTGTTTGATCTTACTGTCATGCACATGTTTTCTTGGTGGGTTCCTGAAGATACTTCTTCTCTTTCCCCATTAAGGAAGAGAATCTCCATGAGCGCTGTAGATATTGAATAAATCCCTGTTTCCACTGTTGAGAAATAAATTTATTTTTATACAACATTTTCAGGGTTTTTTTGAGGACATTACTTTCATCTGGAAATACTAAAATCCAGTGAGCTTTTCTAATGCTCACTGAGCCTTAGACTGTCTAGTTTGATATTCTTGTGGATCCTAAAATTGTCTTTGTATCCCTACATTGAGGTGAATAACTTAGCTGAGAACATAAGAGAATCTTTTCCTGTCCATGATGATTTTCTTCCTTCCCCTTTCTGTTTTCCTATCCTGGGATATGTCCCGCTTAAAATTTTTGTGCCCTCCATCCAGAAAATACGTTCTACTATTTCACTTTCTGATGGAAGAGGTTTTTACCTGATGAGGAGTTGTTAATCTAATCCAAGATTTTCCTCAATCTGTCTTTGCTTAATGGCATATAGAAGGTATATATATGTATATATATTTATATTTTCTTTCATGTCAAGAACCCCAAGACTTGTGATTCTTACACTTTCTTGTCTTAAAAGAAGTAATGTTGCACTGAGCATAACAGCAGAGCAAAGAGTGGCTGTATCTTAGGAGCTTTTCTAATATTTGCTAACTTTTTCCTGCTTTTTCTGGGTTCTACTGAAGTAAAAGCAAAAAAATGTAGAAAAATGTGTCATACCACAAGGATTAAAATGTTTCTAAAGAAGCATCTGTTAAAGCAGCTGCTGCAGTATTTTTCTTCTATTGCCATTAGTCCATCAATTAACTGCCTCTGACAGGTTTTCCAAAACACACGGTCCTCCAAGAAATCCAAGCCTATGAATCAGAATCAAAAGCTGGGAACAACAGCAAGGTGGAAGGAAGTCAGGCTCCTGTGGAGAATTCCTGTTGTTCCTGACCACAGACTTGCTGCAGTTTGTGCTGCAGAAATTCTAAATCCGGCAAGTTTGCTTCCAAGAAAATGATGTATTTTTGTGTTTTGCTCCCTGCTACTTTTTGTAAGTGAAAGTTGTGGAGTCACTTTTTTTTTTCCTCTGTCCAGATTAGTCTGTAAACGTTAGTAACCACATTATGCCAGTAGAAGGGTGGGTGGGTCAGTGAGTTTTTTGTGTGTTTGTGAAGATGGTGGATGTTTTGGAGTGTTTTCTGGGGCTTGCTACCTCACTGTATGGCAAAACCCCACCACCACAATTTAGAGATAATTTTAAGCACTAATGATAAAGAGTTTTGAACTTAAGAGAAGTGTTTTACTTAACTGGAACTCAACAATTTCAATGCTTCAGGATCCAACTTTTCAGATGTTCCAGATCCCTAGGCACTGGAAAATTAGTGCTTGTTCATTATAACCTGAGCAAAATGAACAGCAAGGCATGACTCCCGCAGAAAGAATACAGTGTCAAAAGTTCAGGCAAGAGTCCCAGTTAAAAGCTTTTAAGATATCCAAACTGTTAAATCAGCAGCTTCTTCCTAGCAGTGACTTGAGGAAAATTCTTTTAACTCCTTTGTGTTTCTTTCATCCTCAGTTTTAGGTCATGCCCGGTGTGAAACCTATTGCTGGCAGACAATAATTATCTGGTTTTCACTAAAGCATAAAGCAACAGGAAAAGTTTCCCTGTGTTTTTGGGAAGTTCGAGGTGGTGTGTGCCCAGAATCCCTGTAGATGGAGCTCGCTGCATCCCTTTTGGGTGAAAACCAAGGACAGCTGGACAGAAGATGGTGAAAATCCGGTACAGAACACCTTCAGTTAGTTGTTTTATAGTGAATAATGTCTAAACCATATTGCAGCCAGGATCCCATGTACTTGTAACTCAATCTTTTGATCTGTGCAGGGTTTGCTTTAAGAATTATTTTGCTTTCTGTGTGAGAGGTTATAAAAGGTTAGACCGTTCTGTGTTGTTTAACTGTGTTGATGTCCTACTCTGAATATGCACAGCTTTACCCAAGTCATTTTATGGAGCAAAAGAAGGTAAGATTAATTTAATTTTTTATGAAAAAGGTCTTTGGCATGCTATTTTTGGCATGGTAGAGAAGTTTTAAATGGAGTTGGTGTTCCCCAGGCAGCTGTTAGCTAGAATGTCTCTTTGGAAACTTTGCTTTCACCTGGCTCTGCAGGGATTTAACTCAGTAAGTAATGAAAATCTGATTATTTTTGCAGAAGAGACAAAACAAAAATGGGGCATTCATTGATGAGGTGTGGAATAGCATGTCAGGGTTGACTCTGGAACACAGACAGTGATTTGATTCCCAGTACTGCTGATGAGGTTGAGTACAGCTACCCTGGCCACTAGAACAGAATCTTAGCAAAATAAAACAGCTGTCCTCCTCTTAGAGGAGAGAGGGAAAGCAGCAGGTATTCACAGACCCAACATCCACTATGGCTTGATTTAACGTCACTGGGACCAAATTACTGGCAGAACTGCAAAATATTTGGGCACCAGAAGGGCTCTGGTGTTGCATAGGCATGATTTCATCATGGATTTCAAATAGTAGAGGGAGTGATATTTCCTAGGATGCTGGTGACTCATTTAGATGCATCTGTTTCATGTTCCACAACCTTAAAACTCCCCCTGCTTCCTAGGAAACCTCTTTATTCCTGTTTTCTGAATACATTACAAATAAACAAAAAGAATAAGTGACTAATGGGAGAAGTACTTGAGCCTTTTTATAAAGTTTTTTGCAAAATTCCCCAATAATTTGCTGGTCAAGGCCAGACAAGAATGTCTCCTTTTGTTTATCCTATCTGCTAGCATCCTGATAGCTTCTGGGAAGCAGTAGTTTCCTTTAAAAACAGGAGGGATAGGTTACTGGATTTAAATGTGGATTGGAAACTAAGTGACCTTAATGGGAGATGCTTTGCCATTAGCCACAAACCTGCTGATGTTTAGGAGCCAGGTCTCCTTCTTCAGCCTGTTCCTCAAGGTTGGTGGTCCAAAGGCTAAGGGGCCAAGGGAGGAGCTGAGTCCCAGCCTTCCTGCATTCCTACAGCTGATGCTCTCGGATATGTGGGAGTGTGGGCTAGGTTTCAGGCTGCAGAAAGGACACTGCCATGCACTGACCATAAACACAAGCTGAAGGAATCAGAACTGACATTGAACTGTAGTGTAAAATTTGTGTGAGTAGCAGTTGTCAGGACCTTGCTGTAGCTTTGCTCCTATATAAACTTAATGTATTTGGGATAGTGACTCATCAGTAATGGTGAAGTGTTAGCACTGAGCAGTGGCTGTGTCAAGGTTGTTTTCTGTTGGTAGTGCTTAAAGACTCGTGTTTGAGACCTCTGTCTTGCTCTGTGTCCAACACAGTCTGCCAGCAGCCTCCTGGGAGAGCTCAGGGACTCGGTGAGTGCACAGATTAGTTTGTTCCTCTAAGTCAGCGCTAAGCTGCAGAGGGGGACAGTTTGGGGAAACTTGGACAGCTCCTGGTTGTTCCAGGCTGTAGGGCCGTGACCATTTCAGTGTTGTTAAATACACATCTCTCCCCAGAACGAAGAGCCCTGCACTCTGTTGTGTGTGACTGGCAAGCCCACATGCAGCGCAGGGATCATCAGATCCTGAGCCTGCTTTCATGCATTTCTTGGGTTAGTCTGTAGAAGTCATTTGTGTTACTTCACTCTCAAAGTGATGAAACTAAGTTTGGGATTTGGCTGTCTGTCTGCAGAAGAGGAGGGGAGCAGAGGGAAGAGACATTTCTCTGCACAAGCCAAGAGCTCTGTGGGAAGATCCAAGCTAATGCTCCCCACTGGCCGCCTTGGCTCCAGCTCCTGCCAAGCCCTTGCAGCAGACTAGACACAAAAGAAAACACACAAAGTCTAAATTCATTGGTATGAAAAGGATGTGCCAGAGTATTCCACAGCTCTTCCTTTTCTGCTTTTCTTTAATAACTGTCAATTTGCATAAAAAAGTGGATTACTAAGGGGTGTTTTTATGTGTTGAAGCATAATTCAGCCTGCCCTGTGTCAGACCTGAGAAACTGTTCTGAAGCTTGTTAAACACTGTTGAAAGATTCCCTATGCTCTTGACGGGCTGTAGGCATGGTAGCACAGGCATAGAACTGGTTTCATATCCATAGGATTAGATTGGGTAGGAGAGGGAAATTCATGCTGGAGCAAGTGTTTGAATTCCAGTTTGCATTCAATAGCACTGTCCACCTTTTTATGATCTTTCTTGGTGGTAATTTTGGTGTCAGAGACTTGCTGGCTTGTCTGCACCCCAAAAGTTCATTGGCAGTGTTTGCCTGTAAACATAAGATACCTCTGTGCTGTGAGGTCCTTGATTTCACTCTAGAAAGGGTGTGGGGTTGAAAGGACAATTTAATAGATCACTTGGAGAGGGATCACTGACCCCTTCTGTGGTCAGCTGTACCTCCAGCTAAGAGCAACTTCTTGTCAGCTCTTTACGCTTGCTGCTGCTGAGTGTGGACAGAATCCCATCTTCTCCCTATCTCCACCCAGCACTGCTCTACATTGCCTGGTTTCCTATCATCCTTAAAGCATGAATTCCCAGCCCTCCTTTCCCTCCATCTTGTGCCACCCCTTAAGTCATCCCTACCCAGACCTGCTGCTCTGATTCTCCCAGATCCATTGCTGACTCTACACATGTCAGCCTGGGGAGAGATTACCTGACTGCAGCATGCCGTGGCCAAACCCTGGAGCTGCAGGAGAGTCAGGCACTCACAAAACCCCTCGCCCATATCCAGGATCAGTCTCACACTGATAAAGTTGTGAGCTGTCTATGAACAGAAAGATGAAATCCTGCAGGTTATCCTTTGCTCAGCTCTGCGTGTGGTTTATTTACTTGGGCATTTCAAACACAAAAGTGACACACGTCGAAGTTACAAAATTACTTTTTTTATTAACCTACCCTATCGTAGAGCGTGGATTTTCTTGTTAAATAATGCAAGAAGCAAGAGAAAACTCTAGCTGTATCTACGTGGAACCTACAAATCCACATGGCTTCTCTGTGCTATTGAGCATATGAGTTCTTAGAAATGCAGCTGCCAGTAGTTTAGCTTGAATACAGTCATTCTAAAACAAGCTAGAAATAAATAAAATACTTACATTTCAAGTACAAAACCTTGCAGTTGAATTCAGTATGAGGAAATCAGTTTATTCCTTTTCATGTTACCAACTACTGTACAGGTACTTGGGCTGGCAAAGTCTGCAGATGCAGAACAGAAGAATGTTTTATGTACATGACTTTATTGAATCATGTGTTTAGTCTTCCCTTTAGGCTATCATGTGAAGCTGTTTAATGTCAGGCAGAAAGAAGAATTTTATGGATGCATTTAATAAGACACAAACTCACTACCTCTGCTGGCCACCTATTGTCACCTTATGTCTTTCCTTTCTGGTGGGGAAAAAAAAATGGCACCTTAATTATGTCTCATAAACAATGACACCTACCAGCTTTCAGTAACATTATTTAGCGGGTTGGTGTTACTTTCAAATGATATTTAATTGAGCATGAGTGACTTTACCAGTGCTCCTATACAGCTCTAGTAGGTGGGACGTTGACCTATCATCGGGATCTTGGCTTGGTTGTTTCGGCGGCTTGCTGGTGGCCTCCGGTATGCAGGGCTCTGCCCTGGCAGAACCAGAATGGTCTGCTGGCCTGAGTCCCTTGGAGTCTGCTGGCCCGAGTCCCTCAGAGACTGCTGGCCTGGGTCCCTCGGAGATTGCTGGCCTGGGTCCCTCGGAGACTGCTGGCCCAAGTTCCTCTGAGACTGGAAGATGCTTTGCTCTGTTGCGCTCCTCTCTGAACAGGTGAACGTCAACCCAACACCAACGTCGCTCTTCATGGTTCTGGACGTGCCATCAGATGTGCCATCAAAACATCTGCCCAGGGCGATTTCTTTGGCAATCCTTGGGTCTTGGTCAGTGACTGTGTAGATGCCATAGTTGTGTCCCAGTGGGTCAAGAGGTGCTAGCATTGTGTACTCGCTGGTGTCATTGTTGGTGGCCATGGGGAGGTGGTTCACCAGGTACTCGTGGAGCATGCTGTTTACGCTCACTCGACGGCAGTTGCCTTGCGGGACCACTTTGACGAGTGTGCGGTCCACACGGTCCTGGTCAAAGAGCATTCCACTGCACTTGAACTCCAGGCAGGCTGTCGACACGTCCCGCCTCTGGGGGTCACGGATGCTGCGCACATCCCTGATGCCATAGAGCTTGCCGATAGTGCGTGGGTGCGTCCCACCCATGTTACGAGATCTTACGTTCACTTCCTGAGGTCCATTTATTTTTACTTTAATGTAGCAGGCTCTAAATTCCATGGGCTTGGGCCACCACGCCAGGTAGTCATCGGTCCAGCTCATGAGGTCATCTTCACTGAAGGGAACAGTGTTATAGTCATATCGGTCTCCTTCTATCCTGTAAAACCTGAAGTGAGCAGCACTGTGTGGAGCTTCCTCACATTCACTGAGGTTTTCATAGGCATAAATAGGGCCATTGTTCTCTTCTGGGGAATTAGGGCTTGGCTTGGCCATGTTAATGCTAAATGCTGTTTTCTTGATGTTGGAGTCCTCGTGGTCTGTCCTCCTGTAGTTGAGCTTGTTGAGGTATGGCTGTGGGACCCCAATAGCAGCAGGGTTGAGTTTGGGAGCAGAGGGCACAGCTTCGAGCTCTTCACCCCCCATGCTTGCCAAGATATAAGCTCCGTAGGCTTCAGGGTTTTGTTCATCACAGAAGGCAGGCACACAGGCACCGTTGGGACCAGTGACTACGCTGTCAAAACGGCCCCATGCTCTGGGGTTGGAGGAGAACCCTGGTTCTGGCTCCATGTTTATAATAGAAATCACAACCCCTTGGATCTGCTCACTTTGCAAAAATCTCTCACTTCTGTAGGCTCGGACTTTGACGTAGCACCGTCTGCTCTCGGGGACATCCAGGTTAAAAAGACGCCTCTCTTTGATCTCCATGTTCCCAACCAAAAAGGTTCTCTCCTCCCTTTTGCGCCTTGTACTTTTCTCAATGTTGAAGTCCCCTTCTTCCTCCCATAAGCCTGTCTCTGGGTTCAGGGACCAAAGCTTCATCTCTTGCACATGCTCTGGCATCTTGACCTGAGCAGCATCCAAATGAACCTTCACCTTTTCTGCATTGAGGGACTCGGTGCCCTGTTCATCTGTGAAGTCCACTGAAAACATGCCGTATGTGCGGAGCGGAAATACATCTCCTTCCTCATCTACAAAGTTCAGGTCACTTTGTGTCACAGGGGCTGTGGAGATGTTTCTTGGGTCCAGAAATGTCACACTGGCTTTCACTTTGCCACTGTAAACCTCTCCATTTTTCCTATAAAATGCATTGGGAGGAATTTCTAATTCAGCAATTGGATCATCTTCCTCCATTTCCCCCAAAGAAATCATGTTAGTTTCGGTGGATTCCAGTGTAACAGGGGCTTTCTTTCTTAGTAGCTTGATCTCATGAAATACAGCACCTCCATTTTCCTTGAAGGGCAGAACCTTTGTTGTGTTCACAAACTTCTGCAGCCGGTCCACAAAAGTTAGAACCAGTCTCTCCATATCTGCTGGGACGTGGATGGAGAAGGTTCCCTTGTAGCCAGTCATACTCACTCTCTTGTTGCCCATGTAGATGTGGCCAAACCTCAGTGGCTCACCATTATCTGCTGCTGTGGCTCTGCCTCGAACCATTATTTTGGTCTCGGTGCATACTTTGCAACCGCATTCAACAATGACTTTAGTGGGGAGCGTGTAGCCATCGCAGGAGATATCCCTGGTTTCCATCTTGGATACCCCACAGCAGTAGGAGACATTGTCCTTACACCGAAGTCCCTTATCCAGCTTCCCCACACAGGTCTTTGCTGGGCACTTGCCCACATCATAATAGAAGGAGTTTGTTGCTTTTTGGAAGCAATCGTGAGGAAGTCGGATGAGGTGGCTTTGAGGTTGGGAGTCACAGGCTGCCTCTTTTGTTCCTGTTGAATAGGATTTCTTAATGAGCAGCATGAAATAATTGTACAGTCATTGCTATGTTGTCTGAAACCTCAGAGCTCCTAAACATTGCTCCTAAAAGCAGTGGGGTTTTTTCAGGATTTTGGTGAGCTGATTAACTCATTTCAGTGAAGCAAGTAGATCAGCTTTAGCTTTAGGACCCTGATTAAGAGCTGTTTGCAGGATCCTCTCTGCTCCTGCTTATCCACTATGGTTATCCTGCTCACCCTCAGCTAGATGCTCTGCTGCTGCTTGGTTTTTTGACTATGGCAAGACTAGAATATATCCCAAGACTTTAAAAACAGCCCTAAACAAGCAGAAATATTCCCCTGTCAGGCAGCAAGTACAGTGAAAAATCTGACAGCAGCAGGTTGAGGTTGATAGGCCACCTGCAATCCAGAGCTCTGGGTTGTAGGGAGCGTCTGGTTCATAACCAGCTCACTCAAGCTTATCTGCAAACAGATGAATGATATAAACCTCAAGTATTTTTCCTGTGACGTTTCTTTACCAGATGTACCACAGTTTCTGGTTCCTGCACACCAACACCTCCCCAGCTGCTTGGAGAACATCAGGCACATTTTCTCTTACCTATGACAGCCAGCTTGGCAACTTGAGACTTTGCCGACCCTCCAGCACTGCTGGCCTTGCAGAAATACTCTCCTGACTGTTCTCTCTTCAGGTTCTTTAGAATAAGGTTGTTTTTATATTTGTACAAGGAGGGATCCAGCACTGAGCCATTGTGGTACCTGCCAGGAACAGAGAGGGGACAGAGATTGACCATCTGTCTGGAGCACAGCAGTGGCTTAATCCTGCGTCCTACTATGTGGATTTTGCCAGATTTCCTGCCTCAGTTTCCCTGAGGTTTTAGTATGTCTAGGAGGCATCACCTAAAAATATTTCCCCTAGTCCTGGCAGTGATGTGTCTGCTGGACAGCTGGCAGGCAGGCAGAGCTGCCAGTTGTGTCTGATGAGGTTTTTAAACTCTCTTTGTGTGTTTTTCCAGTGAATCCCTCAGCAGATGACATTGCTGTGCCATCATGAGGAAGCCATCACTTGCAGCCATCAGTTCTCAGCACATTTAACTGTTTTATAGCTAAACCTCCCCATTTATGGAGATGGTAAGGAGATAAAACTGGCATCCATGGGACAGCTAAGATTTCTGGCAGATCAAATTCAAGCTCCTTACCAGAGGTAGCGGTCGGGAGCTGGGCTCCCTCGAGCGTCACAGCAGAGTGACACACTCTGTCCCACTCTCCTGGCTTTGTCCTCAGGGCTCCTGAAAACGTAGGGCTTTCCTGCAGGGGAAGGAAAAGGCCATCTCATTACTTTTCCTCTCATAAGACCACAAGTCTCATAAGTTTATTTGTGATGCCTGCATGAAGCTTCCTGCATTCCCTCTCTTTGGGGCTACCTGATCGATGCAGCTGCACTTGGATTGCCAGGTTTCTTCGGTTGCTCTCGGGCACGGTGACAGTTGCTGTTGCATATTTGGCTTTCTTTATTTTAAGGGTGTTTTTCCCATCAGGACAAATCCCCGGGATCCTAAACATGCCTCTGTTATCAGCCATTGTCAACAGCTTGAGTTTCTTGGCTTGCAGGTAGACCCGGGCATCAGCAGCAGGTGACCCATCCTCGAGAGACACCTTCCCATGCAGGGTGGCATCCTCACACATGCAGGTGTCACAGTCAGCGTTGACATGGCCCATGGGGCAGGTGATGTTGCAGGCTGGAGGAGAAGCAGATAGTTCAAAAACCAGCCCCAATTCCCCACAACACTCACAGCACGTTCTTGCATCTGCTTTTAATTTAGATGCAATAAGGCATATAGTGCATAAGGAGTAAATTGTATCCAAAACATTTCTCATGATTATCCACAGCTGTGCATTAGAAAGGCAGGGACAATGTCATTTTGAACCTGACAATTAGTAGAAATCAGCCACATGGATATAATTACAGCTAGGAACTGTTATTTACCTTCCCCAAAGGGCTGAATTTCAGGGAAATTTGAATCCAGATCAGCATGTGAGCTCTTAGCTCAACCCTGGCAAAACTACAAATTCAATGTCATAAACTTTCTAGGTTTCTGTTACTAGTGCATACCCAGAAGTTGTGATTTTGGTCTATCCCAAAAGCTGTCTGCCCTTATTCAATGGTATCCTGGCTTGGGCAAGATGTGAGGTAATTGCCAAGTGAGCATTACCTGATGGGTTTAAAATTTGTGCTCACAAATATGATTCTGTTCTCATTTAGCTGTGATTAATCCTAAACAATAATCTATCTTTTCCCAAGGCTCAGGTAATTCCTTTTACAATCACCAAGCATTCCTGTACAGGAGCTGTGTGATATTTCAAAGACAGAAATAAATGTAAGAAATCAGGGAAAACCTGAAACAACTTTTCTGCACAAAACATGCTTTCAGAATTTTTTCAGAATTATTTGGTTAAAAGGGGATTATAAGAAAAATGTAATTAATTACAAGCCCCTTTAGCAGGGACTATGGCAATTTGATATTCCCAAATCATCTCTTTCCTGGAGGTTGCATGGACACAGCTGTCTGGAGTCACTGACTCCACCTTGAGAGCTGCTGTTATAACAAGATTAATGAGATTTTTTTTCTATATCCCCAGGCTATTGTGAATCCCTGTTATCTTTGTGTTTGGCTATAAACTCTCCCTGCTCTGCTCTTTGTATTCTCCATCCCTGCTCAGGAATCACCAAATCCTGTCAAAGAAGAGAAAGATGGTAAAATGACAGCAGAGTACAACACCTGAACAGTGGTGAGACAGCAACATCCTCCCCTACCCATAAGTGAGTTTATAGGAGCACCTGAGCAAACATGTCCAATGCAGAGCCGCCCTTCCTCAGTTGCTTCATTACAGTGCACGCCCCAGAGGCGCTCAGCTAGGCAGGATCTGGTACGCTTCTGCACCCCGGTTTGGCCACACTTTGCTGAGCACTCGCTCCATTTCGACCATGGAGACAAAAACCTTTTTGAATCTTGCACCAGTGGACCTTGAATAACATCAGTGGTGCGTTACTGAGAGGCACATTACACAGACAGCTGCCCAAAAACAGGCAGTTGGGTTTTAGCAGCTTCTATAGAGCTCAGACTATACATTTGGATATTACACACCACGTGGATTAAACAAACTCAAAGCATGCTTAGGGAGCTGGGAATTAAAGCATGAGAAGGTGTCTGAAGGCTTCTGACTTAATTCCCCATAGGTTCCCAAATTCAGGATGATTAAGATAAGCCCAAGGGGATCAAAGTGCAGGCAGCTCATGCTTCGTGTTGAATAACTTTGGCTTAAGGAAATCAAACACACATTCTGATTTAAATGTTGTTTGAGCGGCAACACTTGTCTGTTTCAGATGTCATTAAATAGTTTAAAAAAAAAGTAAAATGGTTAAATAGTTACAAAAAAGGGGTAAAATTGTTGGTATGATCATGTTGAATGTCTTTAACCAAATTTCAACATATGTTTTCTATAGGGGTAGCATGTGTCCTATTGTGAACACCGCTTTTACTGAGTGCAAACCAGAAGCTTGAGATGCTACCGAGCAGGGTGAGCATGTCAGGAGCCAGCTGATGGGTAAAACAGAGAAAATTTGCAAAACACATTGAGAGTTTAATATGAGGTTAGATTTTGAAAGGATTTTCTTTAACCAGGCTACTAGATGTTATTAATTTAAGCTACTTTAAATGGATGAGATTCACTCCAAGTCTGTGGTTTGGGCATTTTTTGAAATGAGAGTGTTCTAATAATGTTTATGAGGATCCGCTAGTGACTAAAGTTTCTAAAAATGAAGTTTCTTGGAGATGTGTGCTATGTCATGTCCTGTACCTATTCTTCCACCCAATTTGTAATAGAGCAGGTTAATTTTTTTCCTAGAAAGGCAGAGAGACACAGGGCCGGATTGTTCAAATTGTGAATGGGTGGTTGAAAACAATCCTGGCTTATAAAAGCAGGTGGGTGGGAAAGTCCATTTTAATCAGAACACATATGAGAGCTTCATGTTTGGCTTGAAGTAAGTGCTTGGCTTAGATGGGCAAGGTTTTAATCTGTTGGCACGACATCTCTAGTTCAGCATCCCAAGTAGTGGGATCCATGGCTTACTAGTTAGCAATTTGAGGCTTGCAGGAAGAGGTGGGCTTGGGGATGTGGTCACATCCTGTGGATAAATTCCTATTTTTGCTTGCTCCAAGTAAAAATTTAATGTGCAACAGATTAAAGTGGGATCTCAGCAAGATCCTAAGCTTCTTTGGGATCAGCTGCTTTAATCTACAAGGCTGGTAATGATAGGAAATGAGCAGGAGAATCCTGTGGAGGAAAATGGCGTTATATAGCTCTGGGTAGCATTTTGACAGGAGGAAAAGCAGAAATTGGAGGATGAGGTAGAAGCTGAAGGGTCAAGCATTGGTGGGGACATGGGAAAGGACAGGACTGGCCCAGGGCACTGGCCAGCAGGAACGTACTGCGTCTGACGTAGGTGAAGGTTGGGTCTCCACGGCGAGAGCTGCTCCTCGTACCTGTGGGCAGAGGGATGATTCAGGCAGGGTTTGCCAGCCAGGGAACCAGCCCCAGCATCACTGCCTTGTGCTATCCACTTTGAGGGGAAAACTATTTTACTGTTAGTTTTCAAAAAAATACCTCTCAGCAAGTGGAGGGGACCTCTCAGTGTCTGTGGGTTTGGTGCTTTGATTCTTCCCAGTGGCTAAGAGAGCTGCTGGGAGCTCGGCAAAAGACTGGGAAAATCCCCAAGTCCTTTGGCATGGCCAGCCCTTTCAGTGCCTGCTGCAATTTAAATTGTGAACCCTGGACATTAAAGATGAGAGGTCAGGGCATCTCCCCAGGATTAATGAGCAGAGTGGGCTCTGCAGGTAATTAATCCCCCACAGGCTTTGATACTAAAGGAATGGTGTCACAAACTGCCCAGGGTGTGGGGACAGGCTGGGCGGGGTAAAGGCAGGTCAGAGCATGTGCTGGCCCACCCCTGGGCTCTTCTCACCCCCCCAGCCTGCGCGTGCCTCCCACAGGAGCTGGGGCTGTGGTCACACGTTGACCTTCCCTTTTCCAGGAGAGGAGCCAACAGTGTGTGTCAACGATAGCCAAAACCCTACAGGAGGTTGTGAATGATTAACATTTATTCCATTGCCTAAATCATAGAATGATTCTAACCCTAAATGTCCTCTTCTACTCAAATAATACTGATTAGTTGTAATTTGTTGGGAAAATTGTCCAGCAAGGAAAATCCACCCAAGGTGGGAATTAACTTACTCTCCAAGCTGAGCATTACCAGCGGGCTGAAGGTTCTCTGTCCTATCTGGACCCTGCTGAGGGCTGGTTTCAGAATCCTTTGTCCTAAGGGTCAATAAATGAAAGAATAAATTAGATTCAAGGAATTGTGCATCCTTAGGCTCAATATTACAGCTTTCCCATTGGACTGTGGCTGGTTAGAGCTCCTGTAGGATGCAGCACAGGAGATGCCAAGAGAAGGACATAATGGAGATGTCCCACAGCATCTCTGCAGCTCAGGTATGATACAAATTTTCTATTTCCCTTAGCACAGAAGAAAAACTTTTTTTGTACTTGTTGTTTCTAAGGGACAAGAACTGTTTTCTGAACTTGTTTCACCTGAGTGCTCGATAGGAGCTGATGGCCATGGCTGGTTCTTAGTGTGCTTGCTGGGACTGGTCCCATACAAACTGGGCAGCTGAGCCCCAGCACCAGCTCTCCCCTGTGGGTGCAGACTGGACACTATGGAGTCTCATGGGACAGCAGGCAGGGATAGTCCCAGCATGGTCCATGAGCTGGGGAGCTCACCACTGGTCAACCAGAGGCTCACTGTCTCACAGACTGGCTTTGCTCATCTGGCTGGATGGGAGCCAGTGCTTGTGTGGAAGTTGTCTGGCTGGGCAAACACTGCAGTGACCCAGACCAGCACCCAGCATCAGTGTCGGGCTGTGTCTGCTGGCTCAGCGGCTGCCGACAGACGTGCCTGCACTGGCATGGGCAGGGGACAGCACAGTGACTGGAATAGAGATGTTTAACCTTCACCTAAAACAGATGTGGCTCCCAAGAGGAGGAGGAGGAGGATCCAGCCTTTCATGGTGACCATCGTTGTCTCCAGAGGTGACCAGGGGCTTCCTGGAGTTTCCGCAGCTGTCCCACGCCTTCCCCAGTCCTGCAGAGACAAACCTGACCTTGTCGAAGCTCACCCAGGTCCTGCTTCTCTTCTTTGGGGAGCTTCTCCCAGGCTGAACCACTCCAAAACATGTCACAGGGCCACTTATATCCCCTGCTCACCCACCCCCAGCAGCTCTTCATTTACTCCCACAGTGAGGAGCAGCAGGGGCTCCACATCTGTGCTCACATCCCCCCTGCTTCTCACCATCACATCTGAGCCCAAATCTATTCTGCAGAGCACTGCTTTGTAACAGCATCTCCTTAACATGCCTTGGAACAGCCTGAATACTTTTGCAGGGAGCTCTCACAGCCCACACAGGTCTGCAGACTCCCTGGCACCCAGCTCTGCTCCCCACAGGAGCAGGGACAGCCCCATGCCTCCATCCTTCTGCCTGCAAACTGGGCATAGTGTGAGGATAGCATCTTATCCCAGTACATCCCAGAGAGTGAGGAGAGGGAAGGCTCTTGAGCACCTCTGAAAGCAGAAAACCCCATTCACAAGCCAAGTCTTTACTGCAAATGTAGCAAGAAGCTCAGTATTTTCCTTTTCCCACAGGCACAGATGTGGGACTGAGGTTTTGTGTCAGTATTCACCAGCTCAGCCACTTCAGATTTTGTTTTCAGTGAGTCTCTTTGCCCTAGAGCCTCAAGCATTTGAGTATTTAATTTCTGAACGTACCTGTGGAGCTGGTGTTATCCCTAATGCCTACAGCTGGAATTCCAGGTGCTTTATTTTATGGACCCAAAATTAATGAACTGGGAGGAGGGGAGAATATTGCCCCAACCATTTGGTACCTCAGTTTACCCATAAAATGGGGCTGACAAAGAGCAGCCAGTGGTGAGAACACTGTTATTTGTAAGTGGTACTAACCATCCCCTCTGAGACTGGGGAATGTGGGACTAGGAAATACTTTGATTATGGCTCAGCAAATCCCAGTCAAGCAAAAATAACAAGCAACACATGAGCGGTGTTTTGTGGGCTTATGGTGGGGTTGTGAACTCGCAGTCAGACAATAACCAGGAAAAAATTATTCCTGTTTCCCACTTGGTGACTATTTTTGGAGCTGACTGCAACTTGTTCAGCACTGGGTTTGGGATTGCGATATATCCCTCTGTACCCAGACACACGGTGCTAGAAAAGGGGGGTTCAAGCAGCCAGATCTTGGCAGCAGGGAAGGTTTGGAGCTGCTTGTGTCCCCTGTCTGGCATGAGGCTGGGGAAGCCACTGCAGGAGATGAAACAGTCCCACGTAAGCAAAGCCCCCCAAAACCCCGCTCCAGCTCTCCCAGTAACCCTTTCCCAAGCCCATTAGCTGGGACGAGGAAAGGAGGAGCGGGACGCAGGGAACTGCATCCCCATCGGCGTTTTTCAGCCTCTGTGCCGTTATCTGCCCGTTAATTAATTTCCACCTCACCTTCAGTCGCAGCCGCTCTTAATTACACCTCCTTAGCACAACAGAATTCTATAACCACTATCTACCACAGAAGGAAAAACAGCATGATTGGGTTTTTTTTTCTCTTACCTAAAAAGCCATAAAAACCCCACTTAAGGAGAGTCCCGTCTTCTCACCATGGAGCCGCCAACCGAGCTGAGATCCGCGGGCGAGACTAGGGCTTGTCAGCTGCGGGTTCAGGGATTTGCTGCCGGTTGGGAAGGAGAGAGAGCTGCAGCTTACCGAAACCTCCCCTGCGCCGAGCGGAGCCGGGCTGTGTGCGAGCCTCCCGCCGCCGAGGCGGCGAGGTCGCTTATATAGCCCGGCGTGTAGCTTAGGGGATGGCAGCGAGCCACCGGCCGCAAGCACAAACAGATCGGACGCGCGAGGAAACCGCAGCCTGAATAATCCCTTAATGAGATGATGGTAAACAGAAACCTGTGGCGATGCCATGGCGTGGCGGCTGCTGCTGCTGCTGCTGGGACAGGGCACGGTGTGGGTACCACGTCCTGGTGTGGGCACTGCATCCCAGCACAGCACCGTCACTGTTTGGGGTTTACCCGGGGTCTGGATCTGAAATAGACGCTGCTGAGTGTTGAAGGTGGAGATAGAGTGAACAGGCAGTGAGTTTTGGGGATGCTTTTTTGGCTTTACCTGGTCTGGGACAAATGTGGTGCCTACCCAGCAGTGCACGTGGATTTGCCCCATTTTGCAGATGTGGGGTATGGCTCAGCTGGGCACTGTTCCCTGCACTGCCTGCCCACCTTTGCCCCTGTGCTGGCTCTGGCAGGGGTCAAATGAGGATGCTCTGGGAATGTGAGGATGTGGGACAAAGCCAGTGGGATTGAACAACTGAGGTAGCACAGAGCTGCAGAGGCAGGACCTTGTAAATAAATGTGACTGCATCTCAAGCCATGGGGCGATCTAGCAATGACTCCTAACCAGAGTTGCCTGCTTGCCCCAGTCTGGCTTCAGCCTTACAGGCTTTTTCTCCCTTTGCAGCCACATTTTTCTCATGTAACTTGTGCAGCTGATCTGTGGACACAGGGTTCCTGGGTGTTTACAAAGCATGTGGCCTTGTGTGAGTGACTGCTACCCATGCATGCAGCCCTGGAGCCACTGGACTGTACAGATGGTTGCTGCAGGAATGTGGTGTGAGAGCACATGCTTTATGTGTCTGGAGCAACCCCCAAAAGAAAGGGATGGGTGTTGGGATAGCCAGTGGGGACCTGTGGTGTCCCAGACTGCCTTCAGGTAATCCTTGTCAGCCCTGCTGCTGGAGGGAGTGATGCAGGAGGAACACAGATCAAGATGTCACATAAAAATAATCAGCGGTGAGCTACACCGGCTCCTGTTTATGTTTACGAGGGAAAAGGAAAAAACACCTGAGATGTGCCAAAAAATGTCAGAATGTTTATCTGGTGGGCAAGGAGTGCCCAGTGAGCTGGAAGCTCCAGACGTCTGACATAAACATGGATATCATCTCTGTTTCCCCTCTGTGATGAAGATGAGATGTGGGAAAGGTGCTGAGGCAGAGAGCAAGGAATTCATCTTCCCACCATGGCTGACCCACACTAAGCACAGCACTGATTCCTTGGCAAGACATCTCCAGTCCCACCAGCTGCTTGCCCACGTCCTGGCATCAATTTCTATGGGTTGCACTACTTGGTAAAGAAACTGTTTTATTCCTTTTACTGTTCTGCAAAAGGAATAAAATGTTATTCCTTATGTTATGGAAATGGGATGACAGCTCTAACCCAGTGCGGGTGCAGGCATTTCTGCAGGGGATTTTGCAACCTCCTTAGTACGGCTGTTGTCTCTCTAGCATGTCTCCTTCAAGACAGGCTCTGGAGACATGTGTGTGGCTTCAGGAGCAGGTTTGGGACGTGTGAGTTCATGCAAACCCCAGTTCTCTAGAAAAGTTCATTTGCACAGTCTCTCTTGGCTTGACCATCCCTTGATGCAGCTCTGACATGTGGCTGACTTTGGAGGGAACATCATGAGAAGAGCCCCAGATGTTCCCAGTGCTGAGCACCACCAGCTCTGGGAGAGGCTTTCCATCTGCCTGGAGGTGAACGATGCCCCAGCCCATAGGGTGGAGAGGACAAGTCAGGGATTGCCCCATGACTGGGGTAGTCTGCAGGGCTGTAGTACCTGTGGCCAGTGACAAGGATGCATCCCAGACCAAACTGCTCCTTTCTGCCCATCACCTGTGGCTTCAGCTGCCTAAGGCTGCTGCTTCCCATCAGAAAGCAGCAGATCCACAGTCTCTTGGACTCATTCCCCTCCTGGATTAATGCTGGGGAGCCTACCCAAATCTCATGGTTTTTTTCCATGGTTTCATCACTGATGTGTAATTACAAAGCCATAAGGTATTTATGTGAATGCTGCCATGCTTAGTGCTCCCTCTGACCAGTGCTGAGGCTGGGGCAGTATCAGAGGAGTGTGACAGCAGATGGTGCCAGCAGCATCTCCCTCCCCACACATAATTTTTCTTGCATTCGTCTAATAAATCCAGGGGAAAACTGGCTAGTAATGCTCATCCAGGTTCTTCATGTCTCCCACCATTTCAAGTACAGCATGGGCTGAGTGACCATCTCCAAAACCCAACTGCACCATGCCAGGAGGATAACAGGGTTGGAGGGGCTGCTCTCAGGCTGTGGGGTCTGTGAAATGCTCTGTGGGGCTCATAAATCCCCTTTTGGGCCAAGGCCCTGCCTAATTCCCTGCCTGCTGCCCTTGTCCTCCCTCCCTGCACCCTCTCCACTCCGCCAAATGGAGCTGACGGTTATTTTCCCCTGCTGCATGTTTCTGGGCTTGCTTCTGTTTACGGAGATGGGAGTTAAAATAACTGATTGATGACTTTGTTCCATCCCAAACACTTTGGGGAAGTTTGTGTGGTTTAGAAGGGAGAGTTGGGAGCTGGGATTTCATTAAGCACTTGGCTCCCAGCACTTCTCCAGCCATGCTCCAGGGGTGGCTAATGTTGTTTTTTAAATCCTGTTTTGCTATCCCAGGAGCCAGAGTGGCGATTTCCATGGTTTGTAGGAGAACTTGGAGATGTGGCAGGTCCCTGAGGTTCCCTTTGAGTTCTGAAACCAGCAAACCTTGTAGCCACTGCAATATTGTTTCACTTAAGCCCTCCTCCACCGCTTCATCAGCACAAAATCGCACTCCAGCTGCCTAAAATCTTTGGAAAAGAGCCAAAAAATTACTAGAGTTTGTTTTCATTGTGTGGATGAGGATTTACAGGCTGTGACTGGGAGTAAAGGAGTGAGTGGACCTTTTTCCCCTCTGGAAGGATTTGCTTGGGAGCTAAAACTTCTACAGGGGCTCAGTAGTGCTCAGCTCCATAAACATCATTTACGGAACAGATACAAAAGGCAGCACAACGTGGGGATACCAGGACAGCCAGGATCCAGGGAAAGACTGATTTTAGCTCTGGAGTTCAGGAAGCCTTTTTCTGCAGTGGTGAAAGAGCCAGGAGTGAGGAGACAGTGTCTGTGCTAGTTGCGGCGTCTGTTCCACAGGGTAGGCCCCCAAATGTTTGCTGGCACCAACACAACACAACTGACTCCTGACATGAAAAAGAGGGTGCCCTCTATTCCATGATTCAATCTGTAAAGGAAAAGGGCTTTTTCTAGTGCTTTTGCAGGGCGTGTTTGCTACTGGAGTGCCCAGGGACTGTCACCTTCCAACCTGCTTCATACATGTAGACCCACGTACCCTGGGGAGGGATTCACTGGGATATCCTGGATTGCAGAAGGGTCCCACTGGTATTTCCCTCTTAGGTGCCATGGTCATATATCTGCTGTCTCTCCTTCCCTGTCAGAGCTTGGAGGGGCAGAAACCATGACGCTGTGAGAGCACCAGAAGTGTCTCAATAACGAATCACTTTTTAATTATGTGTCTGAGCTCGGGAAATTAAGATAAGAATTCTGACTCATTTAGAAACTCTCTTCAAGATGGAGAAGGCCATTATTTTCAAGCCCTCCATGAATAATGCATATCCCAGCCTTTTCCTGGAGCATTAACTGCTCAGGGACACTTGCAGGGCAGCATCATGGTGTGGGGAACATCCTGCCCACAGATGTGGCAGGGCCTGAGCTATTGCACAACCTCTGATCAGTGATGTAAAAGCGGTCGCAGGATGGGAACAGGCGTGATGGGAATGTGGCCAGGTCCAAGCCAGGACAGCACCTCAATGGGGACATTTACACTGCAAAGGAAGGGCAGGAGCAGAGCTCCAGCCCACAGTCCAGTGGCTGTTTGCTTTAGCTCTGGACAGGGTTGGATGGACAAAGACCATCCTGTGTCAAAGTCCATGTTGATTTGGGTAATTAATCACTCCTGAAGAAATCCTTGATTTATTGCTCCTGTTTATGGGTATTGGCTTTGGGCTGGGTTGCACTCCAGGCTGTGCACCCGTGCTGGCACAGGGAGCAGCCTCCCACACATGGGACGGCAATCCCTGGTCTCATCTGTGCCTTTTCTTCCATATTCTTGCTATAAACCAAGTTGAAGTGGGTGGGTTTGCAGCAATTTACACCAGCAAAACATCAGCCAGTTTTTCCTAAAAAACAGCAAAATCCTGCCTGATCCATGAGTGTGCAGGGGAGGGCTTGGTTCTTCCAGTTTGTCTTTCTCCTGTTCCGCAGGAATTGCACTGGCAGCACATTGGAGAGGTGTAGTGTAAGTCAGACCAGAGGCAACAGTGATGGCAGTGAAAGTGAAGCTTTGAGTTAAAAAATGTTTTTTAGTGTTCAGACAAGCCTATATGTGGAATGGACAGAAAGGTGAAAGAGGAGGAGCTGTGAGGGTGATGGGCACTCCTTGTTGAACCATGTTGAATTCCATGTGGGAATTTCTGTCGGGTTAATTATTGCACTGAGCAATGTGGAGCTGTGCTTGAGCTGGGGTAATCAGGGTTGATCCACCCCCAGGTTTCAGCTCCGAAAGCATTTGCTAGCGTCCCCACTGGCAAAAGAGAGCATGGAAATGCTTTCCCTTCCTGGAGTGCCTGTGGTCATGGGGGCGACCGGAGATGTAAAATATCTCACGACCTCATGCACTATGCCAAGGACATGCTTGGAAAAGCCAATCTCTGCCGAGCTAATTCCAGCACTGCTGGGATTCCCCCTGGAATACGTGGCCAGATCAGCTTTCACTGGAGGATAAATGTGTGTTTGCTGGGAGCACACCAGAGGGTTTGGTGGGGCCAAGGGTTGCTGAAGAAAGGCCTGGCAGCTCCTGGTGTGAGCACCTTTTCCCATCCGAGA